TTTTCTACTACTAAAACTTTCCTCAATTAAATGTATGGTCAGACAGGGTTATCATTATCCAATATACTGTGGTTTGTACTGGTTTCATCAATTTTCGTTGGCATCAATTTTCGTGTATTTTGTAAAACAGACGTTTTCGAGGATACGTAATTTCGTGGACAAAAGCATTGCCAATACAAATGAATAGTATATTTCGTAAATCAATGAACATTTAATTTCGAGAATCTGCCCAACAACGAAATCCTCGAAAATTGGTGCTCAACGAATATTGATGAAACCACAGTATTATATAAATACATGTGTAAACAATAAATATTTTCCGGTTTTTAATTTTGTTAAATATTTTTAGAATTGAAAAATTTGTTACCTTCATTATACACTCTGCTTGAAAAGCAGGGGGATATATAGTGATGGGGATGTCCGTCCGTCTAGTCAGTCCATCCGTCCATTACGCTTTGGGGTACCCATCTCTTATCCGCAACTCCTCTTATACCACTGAATGAAATTTAATGAGACTTTCACAGAATCTTTGTTACCAGGTACATTAGTGATTGCCATTGTGAACCTTCTATTTTACTTTTTGATTGGACACATATTCCGGGTTTCCCATAGCAAAACATGGACACTGCCATTCTTTCTATAATATTGAGGGGTACCCATCTCTTATCCGTAACTCCTCCTATACCAATGAAAAAAATTTAATGATACATGTACTTTCACAGATTCTTTATTACATAGTGCCATTGTGCACCTCCTATTTTACTTTTTTGATCTGACAGTTATTTCGGGTTTCCCATAGCAAAATATGGACTTTGCCATTTATAATCATATGGGAGGCGGGGGATATCATTTTATGAGCTCAGTGCTCACAGTATCTCTATTTTTTTTATGTTTAGTATCATTTTGGAAATAGCATTACACTGCTCTGCAGTTCTTACAGTGACTGAATGAGCCTGAAAGGTGGAATAGCTATATATATATATATACATATATATATATATATTAGGGATGTCAACGAGTACCCGGTTAACCGGGTACTCGATCGAACGTCAGAGTATCGAATACTAAAATCAGTACTCGGTTACTCGGATGTATATTTTTTTTTCACATTTCAAAGTGCATATATATTTATTAAAAACCTATTTAAAAATGTGATTTAAATATGCATTGTCCATGTCTATACAGTAATTAGCATCACACACACCAGTTATTACCTGTTTTCGCCTGTGGCTGTGTACATGTATACAGTCACTTTAATTACCGTGACCATTCCCTGGACACCGTACACAGATGCTCTCACCTCTTTTGACCCCAATTTTTGGATGGCTTTAATTATTTGTTTTCAATGAACATCGTTTAATTATGATCTATTAATTACCCTTAGATTATTTAATTAGCATACAATACGGTAGCGAAATCGGACATATCCCGGTATATAGAAATATCGCTACCAATTAAAAAGAGAAGAAATATTTTAAAAGAATCGAAGAATCAAGATTAAAAAAATGTTCTAAGTCAGCTGTGCAGAGTAAATTAGCCTAGGGGAAAAGAACAACATATTCAAGGAATCATTGTCTAGTTTGTTGGGTATATCATGGCATCAAAGGCAGTTGGAAACGTGGGATGATTTATGCATAACAGGTGAAGTTGTAAATATCGAGAAATCAACATACTTAACTTTAGGCTTATCAAGGAGAAAACTTGGAAATGTAAATAATATACATGTACGACTCGCGATCACGACAACGTCCATTCCCAGAGACATTCTCTTTCGCTAGTCTAATCATTACAAAGTTGCATCCTTCTCTTCCGTTGATCAAATTGTCGCCCTAAACAAGAACTGTAAAGCGTTTGTAATTATTGGTGTATTAATTGATCATGTATTTTGTGTTTGCTTCATAAATAAATTAAGTATCAAAAATCGTTTTCGTTGGGCTCTCTGTTTATGTACATGCATTACAAACGAAAGAAATCATCAATGGGGTAAACAGGTCTCAATAAAATCAATCAACTTTTACATGTATACACACTTTTTCCGAGTACCCGGGTACTCGATCGGAAAATTGTCCGAGTAACCGATTATCAAATATTGACTGATTTGACATCCCTAAAATATGTATATATATATATATATATATATATATATATATATATATATATATATATATATATATATATATATATATATATATATATATATATATATACAGCCCTTGGACTGATATTGGAGTCTTGGGTTGATATGGGTTGTGATACAGATATTGCCATGCATTATTCTCTATGTATGTATATGAATTAGGAATAGGATTGTAGAAGGCATAATGGGTATAATCTTTCTTTCATTGAGTTTTCATGGCTGGTAACAAGGTGTGTGTAAAAGCTCCTGGAACAACAAAATTTTATTGGGTATTTTAAAGTCTGTAAACATTTTTGTGGGAAGTTGATTATTAGGTACGTACATTGCATTGTGTATGTACTGGTGTCAATTTAGAGAATGATGTGATGACCACAGGTACTTGTGGATAGGACAAATATACATCTCATAAGAATCCCACAATTAATCCTTAAACAGCATTGATGTCAGTGCGTTGAGAAATCCTTAGGTAAACGCAACGGAAGTGCATAGAGAATATATTACCTATTATGATAACACCCGAGAGAGATTATTACGTCAGGCCAAAACTCTCTCGGACGTTATCGTAATAAGTGATACATTCTTGGTGTACTTCTGTTGTGTGGTGATGACAGGTTAACTGACCATGAAAATAAGGCCTAAAATAAAAAAAATTGTTTTCAGTTGCCTACCGACCCACTGAAAATGCACCCGATCCAAACTTTTTTTTTCAGCCATTTTTTTTTTTTTTTTTTTTTTTTTTTTTTTTTTTTTTTTTTTTTTTGGTAAGTTTCAAGTTTTCAGGAATTTGAAATTTTTTTCATTTTTGATTTTTGTTTTAGGCCAAATAAAAAAATATGTGTGGTTCCAGTTACCCGACCTTCCCTATTTTATACCCTCGACCCTAAACTTTTTTTTGGCAATTTTCATATTTTTTCCAAAATTTCCCCCGATTTCCATCAATGGCTCCAGTTTAAGTTTTAGTTTCAGCAATGATGGTCTCCTTGCTACGGAAGCCGGTTGGTGCCAGGTAGAAAAAATATTTTATCTGGCGGCCGCCAGATAAATAACTGGCGGCCGCCAAATAATTCTCCGGCGGCCGCCAAATAATTCTCCGGCGGCCGCCAGATAACTTTCTGGCGGCCGCCAGTTATTTATCTGGCGACCACCAGATAATTATTTGGCGGCCGCCAGAAACTTATCTGGCGGCCGCCAGATAAAATATTTTTCTACCTGGCACCTACCGGCTTCCGTACCTTGCAAAACATAGTGCAAGTGTTTAATAGTGTTAAATCCAAAGGAAGCTAGCATGTAGGTGTCCCCTACCAATATTGACTAGTATATTATCACACCACATCTAAATGCCATTTGCAAAGCAGTGATAGGTATTATTTAGAAAAAATTAAGAAAATCATTTTGTTAAAAAAAAAAAAAAAAAAAAAATCCCTACCTACCTACCCTAATTTTTTTGGAAGTGTAACCGGAACCACACATATTTTTTTGTTTGGCCTTATCAAATAGTGGCTTGAAATAAGAGGAGCTTATTTAGGTTTAGTAATTATATGAAAATCTCTTAGACTATGATTTGTTACCCAACAAAAACCTGGAAACTAATTTCTTTTTTCCAAAAAAAAAAAAAACATCCTTATCTACCTACCCACTCTAAAAATTATAGGTTGGCAATTGTTATAGCTTGACCTAATACGTACCATTGTATCTAATACTAGATAGTAACCAGGTTTAATGATACTGAATACTTCAAGTTGACTATAAAAATTATATTCATTAGGATGAAGAATATTATAAGTGTCTAAGACTAAATCCTAGCCTACCAGGTATTTTCATTGTATTATATACTGTTTGGTGAAGATAGCTTTCTAACCTTACTGTGTGATAATGATGGGTAAAGATGTGAAAGTCTGTACCACAGATGTGATATGCTGGGATAATTGAGTTCAAGTCAGAACTAGAGGGTAGAAATAATAGGTGTAGGAGATTCTTTATTGATATAGATAAAGGTAATTGGGAAGTTGCTTGACCCCCAGACCCTTCAAGTTCGGATAAATGACATGGAACTTTTTCCTTTAAAGAGATAAGAAAAGAAATTATTATGGGTACTTGATTTTACTTAAATTCTGTCATCTTTGGTAATCTTGAAACTCCTGAAAATTGACTTAAGAAAACTTTTATTTTATATTTTAGAGTTTTGACTGTTTGATAACTACAATAAACATAATGAAATTCCATATACATTTTTTTAAAGGAAATACCAGAAAATCAGAAAGGGTATCTTCAAATTTCGGGAAAATGCAGTTCTAAATTGAATCAGGTCATAAACAGGATCAAAATGATTGATGTTTTAATATTCCTCTTCTTTCACTTGTACCAGTACATGTATTTTTCACAGGGGTGACTTGAGTTGTGGGGACAAGTTTGTGAAATTAATTTTTATGAGGTTGCTAATTTAAAAAAAAAAAAATAAATAAATTATAAAAAATATCATGGTCATAAAAAGGTCAAGATCACTGTTACATTTCAACTCAAGGTTGCTAATCATGCAATAACCTTAAAGCTCAGTTAGGATGTTGCTTCTGCCCTTACAGGAACAATGTTTTGTTATCTAAGATTACGTGCCCAACTAGTATTTTGGTATTCACCTTAAATTGATGAGAGCGTGAAAGATACATCTTTTGCATAAATAAATATAACATTATCTTGGAATGCAATAGCAGGCCATACAATTATAACATGAACAAAGGGTTATTCTTGAATTGTAGGGATTATATAAGATATGTAATTTGATATAGTCCTGTAAATGCTTTGGTCTTGTGTCCTTGCCTTCCTAGATACTATTTTTAAATTATAAATGTTTATTGATTTTTTGTAGGAACAGGTGCTTGCTTACCTTGATCTGAGTCAGCAGAGTGCTTTACAGGAGCAGTAAACGAGATTGTGTATCTAGTTAAGGTTAGTTTGTTCTGCAGGGAGTGTTCACAATATTACAGCACATCATGGTTTTCGAGGGGTTTGTATTTCTTATTTATCATTTTCTGTAACTTTTTTCACTTTAGTATCTATAATTTTAACAAGTTGTTGAAAAGTTGATGAATGAGAAGGATAAAGACTTAAAAGAGGGACTTGAATAAGAATGCCTTGAGAAATGCAACAGTAGACAGGCTAGAGCCCTCATAATTCTTAGATTACTCATGTATGCAGTAGAAAGATTGGAGATTACTTTGTTACAATATGAAAATGCTGTGTTATAAATTCAAAACACAGGTATGTTTCTTTGTAGAGCAGATACTTGATAATGACTGAGTCAGTACCCTCCAATGTGTGTGTGTGTTTGTTTACTCTGTTGTAAAATCTTGATTAAGTTCTCTTGTCAAAGGTGCCTGACCTTGTACTTTTGGATGTTTAACTGCTGCATAGCCAGTAGCCCTTTCATCAATTTTGTATCCTGGAAGATATTTTCATCAAGTTAGCAAACATTTTAGGAGGAAATGGACTTAATTATTTTGGCAGTAGCTCAAATTCTGACTTCATGATTTAATAGCTTCTAAATCATGGTGTGCAGATTTGAAGTTTTGGCTCTGAGAAGATGGAGATGAGAAATTTGATTGAAAGGCCAGGCTTTAGGGCAGTATTCTGTATCACACAATCCCTTGATGTCATGAAATGATGAAATGTTCAGGTCCTGAATTGTATTGATTTGATTTAGTGATGCACTTCAGTAATGATACGATAAATGTCATTTAGATTTCTCTCTATCAGCAACCTTCAGTAGCACAGAAAAAATGTTTTATTCTATACAAAGTTGTACAAGTTTTGAATAGTAAACATGGCTATTATGAATTCAATGAATTAATGCACCTTGTCTGTACATCAATCAACACATGGCCTGTTTCCTCTTTATACATTGATGGATGAACACTGGAGTCCTTATTTAATATACTGACATTTATCAACTATATTGATTACAGAAACATGTTTTCAGCTCTTATCATCAAATTTTGAACTTCTCATTTTGATAAACATGGGGCCCTAAACATGTTCACAGTTTGTCATGTTTGTTGTCTACAGATACTAAGTGAGTTGTATTTCACTGATCTATCTTGACAAATTGTAGGCATGCCATACCAATGTATGCATCAGTATCAGATTCCGATGAAAGTGATAAAAAAAAAAATGTTACCATAGAGATGTAACAAATACACCATAAATTCCTCAAATTTAATATGACTACAAATGGATTTAAATAATTGATTTGATAAATCATCCCAAGCAATTTTAATTGTTCTCTGAGCAGAATATGACCCTAGATGAAATATTGAGGAGCCCATTAACTAAACAAACAGAATCTGTTACATCCATTCTCCTAAAATGACATCAATTTTTAAAAGCATGAACACTGTTACACTGATCTACACCAGGCATTATTGTCTTGTATGTATATTTATATATGGCAAATTGGCAATATGTCATTGTGAACAGTTTGCATCATTTAATAAAAAACAACAAAAAAAACATAAAAGTTTGTAAAGAGATAATTGCAAGTGTTTTTGGCAATTACACTAAAAATCTCCAAAGAGCATCCCTGCTTTATGGTTAGTGTGTGCATGAGTCATCTTAATGTATGGCAGTAATTATTGCATTAGTCTAGGGAACTGCATCATCTTTACCATTAGCTTAAAAACTGATGAATGTGAGCATAGCAAGGGGTTACTTTTGACCCATATTATATAATTTTTCTTTAGAATTCATATTCTTATATTACAGGTGTGGAGTAAACTGGGCCCCCACCCTCAGTGCAAGGATAGAGTGTATCAGGTAATTTGAGAGAGAGAGAAGAGAGCGAATCAATATTTGCTGCATGCCAAACAAGACTTGATCCCATAGAAGTCAGTATGTACTCCAGTAATAAATAGACAATAAAACCCCACCCTAAACAGTAACCTTCACACTAAGTAATGGTCTGGATGGGATAATAGGGGCCCATACTGCCCACTGGTAGGTAAATTATAGGTAAGACCTGTAATTTACAGGTGAGCAATCAAATTTTTGATCCATTTGTTGTGGCTGGGAAGGACCTCTAGCAGCTTCTCTCACAATGAAATATATGTAGGCTCTGTGGGACCCTAATTTAATGGTAGCAGTCCCTCTCTCTTTTCCCTAGAGTCAGGAGGTCACAGGCATGTCAAAGTTCACATCTTGACAGCCCAATACAGCCTCATAAGGATATATCCATCAGCGTAAGTTATAGCAGATTTATTGGCTGGTTTATGTGAAAGTCAATAAAAATGGTGACTTCTGTTGTATGTGCATTGGGTTAGTATCTTCAAGGTCTCTTGCTAATGTTAGCTTTATTTCTACATAAGATTGGAAATCCTGACCGTTATTTTTATTCTGGGATTGATTTATGCTATGGGATAACTTTTTGATCCCACCCATTTTGCTCTTAATTAAGAAGTTCAGGCAGATCAGCTTGATCAATGTGTGTTTGTGATTTCCGAAGGTTTTCCGGACGATAAACACTCAGGTGAATCAGATTGACTTTTTAATGTGAAGCAGAGAAAACAACAGCTTTCCTCTCTCTTCCAATCCTTGGTCACTTTCCAGCAGCAGAAACTGACTATAACCAATCAACAGCTCAGAAGGATTTTTTTATTCAAACTCTTCTCTTTGGTAAATACATAGAGCTGGATTCTTTCTCCTTGAGGAATGTGCAGTATTTAGTGCTTCTTCATTTGCCTGTTTATTATTGTGTTTCTGCAGACATGAGATTTACAGAGGGTTGATAAGACAGGACTTATTATGGCTGACCAAAGGTAAATATGGTGACAGGTTTTGTCTTCATATTTTGTAAATTTAATCAATGTTGACAGGTAATATGGTGTGCTTAAGAAAGTGAGATTATCAGTCTGTGTTAAAGTGTTGCTAGGTAGATTTTCAAACTGTCTCCTTAATTTGCCAGAATTTAAAAAAATCATTGTATCTTAGCTGTTTAAATTTCTTCATACTAATATAATAATAATTCATACATTTTCCGTTAGGATGAAAAAAAAAATTCTATTAAAAATTTGAGTTGCAAAATAATGTATATTTCAAATTAGTTTTGAACCTTTTGATTTATCTAGTATTGATTTTTTTATTATTATTATTATTATTATTATTATTTTTTGGTCAATGTGTCCAAATTATGCAACAGGACTAAAAGCATAATCATTCAAGACTTGTGCAAAACAGGTTATATTGTTTATTTCCCCAGTGATTTGAGAAGATGAAAATGTGTATTGAATGAAAACAAAATATCAGTATAAATTTTTGAGCTGAACAGCTTCAGCATTAAAAAACATAATTGCTTAAAGCTTCACAAAAAAACCTGTAGTCAAATGCATGTTTATTAACATATTTCTTAAGTTTTCTCATAAAGCTAAAATATTTAAACATATGTATATGATGTCTAAAACTCAAAGTTAAGTAACAAGATGTGTTCTCTTGGAGAGCATGTGTGTATGAATGTATGAATTCAAGTTAAATGGATAGTGCTGACAAGAAGTCACATGGGGATAAAATATACAGTTGAACTTTGATATCTTGAATACCATGGATATGATATGATTTGGAAGTACCAACTACACATTCTTTAAGAATTTTACCCTCGGTATCTCGAACCCTCGGATATCGAGAAGTTTTTTCTTGGTTTCTTTCTTGGTTCCATCTATTTCAGGATACAAGGTTTGACTGTATCATATACATACTAGATATATATGTAGTCACAAGTTCAGATGGAGGGAATTTATTTTACTGAAAGTTCATGCAGAAAGTGTGATTTGCAGAGAAATTGCAAGCAATCAGACATTGGTATGGTAAATTTATATCACATGTACAGGAGCTAGTAAATTCAGCTGGCAATTCTGCTAGAAGGGATATGATTATAAGCATTTACAAGTGACCTCTAATACACTTCTAATACATGCATATATATTTTATTTCCAAGTTACTTTCACAATACTAGACTTACAAACTCAAACACATGGTTTGCATTCTATAAAGCAAAAGAAAATTCAAAGACAACAACCAAAGTGTCATTGTGCTAGTTACATCAAATGACAGGAGCCACTTATTCTTTGGTAGAGAATTTCAAGCTTTTAAAACAACTGACAGTAAACTCAAATCCGAGGGATTCAATTTTTGTGAATTTCTAGATGTTTATACAAGTTTAAAGACTAAATCTTAGAGCCAAGCCAATTAAGTTTTTGGTAGGTAAGGAATGTATTTTGTAAACTTTTGATTGTGGCATGCTGTCAATATGTTGTGCATCTGAAGGAGTTACATCAAACTCAGAGATAATTCAAAGGAAGTCAAGTAAAGCCTGTCATGTGGGTTTACTCAAACGAGGGATGTGTCAGGAGTAGGAATTCTGTGAATGGATCGAAAAGCCAACTAATTGTTTCTCTTCAAGATAACTTCTGCTTGATGGCATCTAGAAACATCCTAGCATGCAGACAATTTGCCAAACTATGAAACTAATTATACCATTTTGGAGATAGGCAAGATGCATAATCAATGTTTTGATAAGAGATGGGATATTTAGTTCTTCTGATCTTTAGAAAATACCCCAAGGTACTGTATGATATAATTATGACTTGATTGTTAATTGGAATTCCTATAAAACATTGAAAGTTTTATCTAGTAATCCCAGGTGGAATCTAGTTTGAGCTGGTTTAATTCTATCTTGTTGATAACATGCTGAGCAGTAAAAACTCTAACAGATTGTAAATAACATTTATATGCAGTAGATCAACACAAACCGATCAAAACTCATCCTCAAAAACACTAAAGAACAACAATTGCATAACCCTACAGTACTGGTTACTAAATTTAACCCTTGTATTAAAGGACTGAAAAAACGAATTCTGAAATATTGGAATACCATTCTGAGAAATCCAGAATGCAAAACTTTATTTAATTTTCAACCAATCATAGCTTATAGCAAACACAAGAACATAGGTGACGAGATAATCAGGTCTCACCTAAAATGAACATCATATTATGTGTCTGTGACCCCTGATGAGGCTACTTAATTGCCGAAACACTCTACAACTACTTGCACAATTCAAATTAATATGCTCTATGCAAAAAACATATCTACTATAAGTGTGGTTTGGAGTGTCGGGTCCTAATAAATCTCTTACAAGTCTGGTTGATTGATGTCGCTAATTTTCACACTTTGTATGATAACCCTAAGTGAATAGTATTGGTTTGTTAATATGGATCAAATTGAAGCCCCAGTTTTTAGTTAAAAGGGGGGGTAGTAAAAGGGGGTTTATTTAGAAGGGGGGAATCTATTAATACTGTGTCCTACTGGCCAATACTTAAGGAAAAAAAACCTTTGGTTGTATAATGAGCTGTACATTCTTTTGACATGTGCACGTATCCATCCAACGAGGAAACTTATCAATTTAGTGAATGAATTTATTTCAAGTTCTTTATTTCAGTATGCACAGTGTTGAAATAAGGATTTTTAAAAAAATGAATGAGGTATCGATTGCTGAAACTTTCCCAGTGTTTATTGAGACCCAGCCCTGAATTGCTTGTGTTCTTCTTCAGCTAGGTTCTCTGATATGGAAGATTAACATCTGTACTATATCTATACCTGTGTACTAAGGGTGTTCAGTTTCTTTATTTACATTTAATGGGATAGTTGTAAAGAGTTTAGCAAGAGTACAAACGTGTAACTACCTGGATTATCTGTTGATCAATTGAAGCCTTTGTGTCCGTTGACTGGAAGCCATTGTCAGATTAAATGCCTCTATCAGTCCCCTCTATCTCCCCTCCCCGTCACCTATCTGCATTACCTCTGGATGTGGCTGGGTATACTACTATATACAGTTTCCTGGTAAGTTATCCAAAACCACTGATCAAGTAAGTTTGTTTATTTTGTATTGCTTTTAAATGGGGGGCCATGTACAATTATTCTGATCACCACTTCTGGCAAAAATGGTGTAACTTCTAAAACCTTTCTTGATAGGTATTTTAATTGCTTATGGTATTTGACTAGGGTCTTTGATAGTAGTTTTAAATACATACCAGTCAGTTCTTGCCCAGGTCGGGTTACTAAGTGTTTAGCTTGATTTATGTAGCTTGAAATGATTGAATGAATTTTTGATGTAGGTCATGGTGTCAATACTTTAGCCATGTAGACAATTAAGAATCAATAGAGACAAGGTAATTAAGGTGTACAGTGTTGTTTTGACAAAGTTCTTCTCATTCTGTTTTGTCACAGAACTGACCATGAGGTTCATCTGAGTTTTCTTCAAACATTGTGAAATTTAGTGCAAGTTCTATTTTTATTTTGCATTCATTGTAAGGAATTGGTTGGATTACAAAAAAAAAAATATGGATAAATAGGTGAAGAAAATTTTCTTTGGTCAAGACAAGGAAATTCATGAATCATTCACAACTGTCATTGATTCAAATCAAAATGGATGTATGAAATTATGTATATTCAAATCAAAATGGGTGTATGAAATTATGTATATACCAGTGAGCCAGCATAATAAAGCTTTTAGTGATGATGCAAATTGTTTCCCTGTTACTATTAATTTCATTATGAAATGAAAGTGGAAATGTACCTATCTGTGCTGGCACCTCATGGAAATGAATTACATATTGGAACATTTTGATATTGAATTAGTATTTGTATTCAGGTACAATGTTTGTAAGTGAATTGTTCATGATGAAATGCATTTGGACAGCTATTCTGCAATATACTATGGAAAACTGTATTGTCTTCAATATATTTAAATATGATACCATGCAGTTTAATTTAATTACAACATTTCATCTTTCAGACTAATCTGCCATCATGTTTCCGTGGAGACCACTGATCTCTGAGTGTGTGATCCACCACCCTACTCATAGTCATGGATACTTTAGCTCCACAGTCTGTGTTGGACCACAGGTCTAACAAGAAGGAACCTCACTTGGTCTCAGATCATATCACTCGGCAGAAGTCAGCCAGTGGATCACAAAATCGAGACCCAGATACTGAGGAGGAAATAGATGTTAGAATACCCCAGCCATACAGAACGAGCTTCAGTGCAGTCCTCACGCCTGCTAAAGTTAAAAAAGAACGGAGTCGATCAACAACTCCGACCCGGGTCTTAACATCCAGCATGAAATCTGAACACAGTGCAACTGCTCGTAAAGTGAGCCCAAAGCATGTGACTTATGATGCTAAAGTTACTGTGAGGCATTCAGACTCATTTGAGCATGAAACTGATGTGCTTCAGGGGGAAGAGATGAATTCAAGTATAGATCCAGCTTTTGATCCTTCTTTTACAGATTGTGATAGTCCTAGAGGAAAAAGTGAGTATTCATCAAAAATTAAGGAAATGACCGAGTTAATTGTGAAGGAGTACCCTGTGCAGAATGGTATTGATGTAACAGATTCTAGTCAAAACAATACGAAAAGGGTCATGGGACGACAGAATGCTAAAAATGGAATGGCCAATGGGGGATCTCCTACCAGACAAAAACCAATGCCTCCTGTAAATGAGCTGTCCAGGGAATATGAACATGACCGTACAGTGAGTTATAGACAAGCCATCAACAATAAATATTCAGAGGAGGTGAAGAGACTTGCAGAGGCCAAAATTGAAGAGAGATTCCCACCAGGTGGAAGAATCACACACAATAATCTTGTCAAGGATATCAAAGCAGAGCGGTCAAATTCTGTGCCCTCACATCCTGGAAGGGACAACAGTAATAAACTAACTCCAACAAAGCGGTCAGTTGGAGGCAGCATTGGGAACTTCTTTAGAAAGTTGTCACCAAGACTTGGACGAAAATCTCATAAGGACAAAGGATCTACCTCAAGTATGGACACTGCTGGATCTCAACAGGAAGAGAGCTTTTCCAGAAGTAAAGTGAGAAGCTCCTTCCTGAAGCTGATGGGTCGTTCTAAGCGACGGTCCAACTCCCAGTCCCGGAGCCAGGACAGTTTGGATGATTTTACTGCTGATCATGAAGCAGGCTTTGTCCATGATGAGAAGCCAAACCAAATTCCATCTGCTTCTAGCAGAATTCTGAAATCCATCGAACAAAACACCATTGCTGAGAGAGATGTTTACCAAAGATTCAAAGAGAAGCAATCACCAAAGAGTTTATCTGAGGCACCTCAGCCCCAGAGTGAGGGCCAGAGACAATCTAGACCCCAGGCCATGAGAGCAACAGCAGCAGTGTCACCGCCAGGGATGAACAAAGAGAACCTTACACAGATGGATGGCCCCAGTACTAGTGGTGTACATTATAAAGAGGAGCCCTGTGCTCGAGTGGAATCACCAAACTCTGTAGATGTTCATGTGGTGTCAAAGTCCCCCAGAATCCCCCAAACATCTGTGCTGAGTACAAACGAGGACTCTATTGGCAATTGTTCATTGGACAACACTGTCACAGGTGAGTGGAATCTTTCAATATTAACATAACTTTTTTTTTTTTTTTAAAATGGCCAAAGTTTATCTTGTGATGATGACGATTTTCAGTTTTACTAATATTGACATTCCCAATTTTCAACTTCATGCAAATCAGTGTTTTTACCAATTTTCATTGGAATCAGTCGTCAGTTTATAATTTTATGTGAGTCCATGGAATTTTTCTTTAGCTGCTGCAGTTCATTGTGACACTCATGTCTAATCAGACTTATTGCACATTCTCCTCAAAAACAATAGTTGGTAGATACTGATTTTATAATGTAAGTTACAGGACAGCATCATTGAAGTGAGAATTATAATATCTTTAGGTCTGTAAAATGTGAACTTTACTTAGCAGTAATAGTATCATTGATATTACTTTACATGTAGGCTAAATATAAAATGTTCAGGAAATGGATTCATCTTTAGGTAATGATTTGGTTGTGAACAGAAGGTCTGCTTAAATGAGAAAAAGATTTATGACAATTTGGGGAACACTTTGTCTGAATTATTGATGGTGCTATTTTCTGCTTTAATTTCCTGTCAAGTTAATGGCAATGGGCAGATAACTCCTGCAGTCTTCAGTGCCATCACAACTGTATATCAACATTTCAGTATTTTGTATTAGGTGTATAAGGAGGACATTGTGATATTTTTTATTGTAGCTGCCAGGAGTCCATTTGTTGCAAGTTTTTGAAAATGACTCACCTATGCAATAAGGTGCCTTACTGTATACCTTTATGTGATGGAGGTAGAATAATTAGATCAGTATCAGGAGAAAGTTTTCTTGGGCCCCTGCCAGACAAGATAAAACAAATCATTGTACAACATAGACCAGTCACACTTAAAAAAAAATGACATCCATCACGAGTATCCATGTCTGTATTGTTTGTTTATGACATGATCTTCATACACTGATTAATGTCCACTTGGAGCAGGTGTGTTGGACACAGCCCAGATCTAGTTGGTTATACATGTATCTGTGTACTCTGGTCAGTGGACAGTGCTATTGTAGGAGGACATTATAAATGTATGTAATTTACAATCAAATTTTCTGGTAGGTTTTTGCTTTACTACTGCTCCATTGTAACCACTTAGGTAAAACCCACTAATTCAATTCTCAGATGGGGGGGGGGGGGGTGTTATTTCTTTTATAATTATTATCTTCTTTAGTGTTCTTCTTTACAATAAAACAGTAAAACATGCTTAAAATGATGTGCCAAGGATGGACAATTTTGCTTCGTTATAAACGTAAAGCCACAGGGAATGAAAATCACTTCGCTGTAAGAGTCAATTCATTATAAGCATGTTTGCTATTATATTAAAGCATGTTTTACTGCATATAGTTTTAGCTTACTGCAAAAAAAAGTAAACATAAAATTGCTCTGAAAATCTATCATAATTTGCTAATCATAGTGCAATTTTTCAATGAAATCAGCTGAAAACTTACATGTTGGTAGATTTTAATACATGGTGCTGATATGTAGAAGAAATAAACTTCAGTCACACTTTTGCTTTGATATAAAAGAATCTATTGATCATTTGAAAAGCTATCAGGTATTTTAAATGGTGTGAAACCATCTCTAAAATGTCAAAAGAAAATTTATCCTGTCTTTATGTAAATAATGTGAGGACGAAGCCAATACACTACCCCTCAATGCTATGATTTAATATTTTCAGGTTCTTACAGATAAAAATAATCTCCTTCCATTGCCAAAAAATTTAAACCTTTTAACAGGTCCCGAATTCTGAAAATCTTAATTGTTGCATGCCTTGTGCTGTGTGTGGAGAAAATGTGGAAGTGACTAATTCAGTGGGATATATTAAAAGTTTTTATAAATAACTTTCTTTCTTGGGATGGTTTGTGAGTTAACAATTTACAGAAAAAAATATACCTGTATTGTGTATACACAGTGTGTTGTATTTTGTCATCTTTCAAGTGATTGGAAGAAATCAATGGTAAGTTTTCTTTGTAAATATACAAGTTATTTATTGAAAACTTCAGACAATGGTTGTGGATTTTTACATCAAGTATGCTGTTTTAAGTCTCAGTTTCCGAGGAGGGGTGACTCACTGATTCGCTTAGCTCAGTGATATGCTAGATTGAACCTCAAGGCACATGTTGACAAGTTGTGAGTTATAACCACTGGAGTTTTTCCTGAAGTAATGATTTTGTGCATAAACATTCTGAGTTAGAATGACCAGCTGAGATTGTTTATCTAAAGTTGTCAGGTTTGGTATGAATAGAATCTATGGTGACCACTAAAAATTTTACTATCTTAATGAAGCTATTTGGTGTCATGTTTACCTCTGGTCAGTAATAACAAGATAGATGTATATATTGTAAACAAGATAGGTCCATGTCTGATTAGGAAGGAATTAGAGACTGGACAGCTTTCTTAAAAGTCCACCTGGTATTGTGATAAATAAGCTTGTTACAAATGAGAGTGTCATCAGACGCAAACAGTAGCAGCTCCAGGATATAGGGCATTCGTTACTCGTCAAAATCCGCTGCATTCCTGTGGACAGGGGAAGCAGTGGCCTTAATTACAGGTGAGAGTGGAATTTTATCAGTAATTACAGCGATTGGGATGAAACAGGTAAGTAATAGGGATATATGAAGGGAGGGGCCTGTAAATTGTAATACAGGTGGAAATTTGTCACCTCAGGAATACATTTCATTTGACATACAAGTAAATGGTTTTTGTCAGAGGTAAATAGGTTACCTAATAAAGAAAGTGAAATTTAAATCAAGTTTTTTTTTGTCTGTAAAAGTAATTGAGAGTTTTCATTTACTCATGTAAATGATTAACTGAAATCAGTGAATCCTGGCTCGTGTTTATCTTGAAAATTAAGGTTCATAGATGCAAATACATTTTCTTGCCAGAAATAAACCCTTTGGAATTTGGATAGTGCAGTGAATAGAAGTAGGTTTGTTTTAAAGGAAAGAATTTTCACTACCACCTGCTACAAACAACACCTAATAAAACAGGTGTTTAATGAAAAAAATAGATTAGAAACAATTCATTTAGTAAATACAAGTTAAAAACAATCCTAGAATTAAACAATTCTAGATTGAAGTAATTATTCAATTAAAATTTTAAAGCATTAAAATTCTGAATTGCTGACACAGTACTTTTACCTACAATGATTATGTGTGGTTGCCCAACACTGGTTGGGTTCTGCTGATCATTATCTGGTTAGAGATTGATGGAAATCAATAGTTACCTATATTTACCGTGTTTACCACTGGCACATGTGCCTACAGATTCAGTGGTGTTTGTTTGACCACTGACAAGCAGTGACACACCAGGTGACCAATAGACAATTAATTGGCTGTTTAATTCTAATGAGCTATTACGTGGTGTTAATTGGTCCAAACCATTTTTACCTGGGGAGATTTACAATGCAGACTGGCATAGATTTTTAAAATCTCTTGCTTGATTGGAGAGGGACAAACTGTTGACAGTTTCAGGTTGATCATGTTGATATGTGTACAAACATGCTTTTGAATTTATTTGATTATCGGACAAAATAATTAAAACCAAGTTAAGGGTTTGTATGTTTCTGGGCCTGATCAGGAATTGACTGGAGCTTTTGTGGAGTGTGGCACACAGATCTGACTGTAACCACACACAGCCTTGTCTTCTCTTCTTATAGTGGATATTTGGAATGCATATCAAGTTAAAAATGACGGAAACTTCAGGTAAATGTCAAAAATAGATATATGTTATGGAAATTTGTAACAATCTTAAAAAATTTTGTAAATTTCTAGGGGAAAAAAATTTACCATGAAATATGGGTTTTTTGTTGTTTTTTTTTTTTGAGAAAATTTTCATAATTTCTAGGATGAATGTGAAAGTTTTCCCCATTGTAATCTGGGAATATTGCTGAAAAAAATCAATGGCAGTGATAGAATGTACTTAATGTATAGAAATAACAGGGAGTGAGTCACAGTGGATCAATACCATAACAATGTCTCACCTGATCTGCCTTCTAGTAGACTTTTTTCACCCCCCTCTCTCTCTCATTAAAAAATTAGGTTATAGGTATTAGATATTCAAAAAGTTAGGTTTGCATGAGTTGACTCCATAGAGGAGGCAACTCAACATATTACTACTAAGTCTGTCCTTAAGAGATAGAACGAAGCGGTAGTTAATCCATTTCTGGCATTATTGATAATGACAGTCCAGTATATCTCCATTATACTAATTATGATAGGGAAAGTGTGGAGGAGGAACAAGTAGAAGTCAGGGAATTTTATGTATTGAACATGGAGACCCAAGAATACTTCCCTTGCACTACTGGTCTATCAGTCAATGATTCTAATGTTTTATATCTTATATATAATAACATCGTAATATGAATAATATATACGTGTATTGTTACACATATATATATATGTAACAATATACATGTAACTATTTGATTACACTTCTCGGTAGTATTGTACAGTATACTGCTGACTTGACTATTTTTGTTTTGTTTTTTGTTTCTTGAGACATTCTCAGGTTAAGTCTCTGTGTCCACTCTGGAGAATATTTATTACTTGTTTTGATTTTTCTATGGGTTGTGTTAAGTCCTAGTTTTGCTTTCCTTCCAATTTGGCATTTAGTTTTAACTGTTTATTTCAATTCTGAGATTTCAAAGACATTAAAGAGAAAGAATTAAGATTAGGGCTGTATCAAGATCTGGGGTGTTTGAAGACAAATACAATATTTATATGGGCAGAAAAAAAATTAAAAGAGAAGAATATTTGAAGTAAGGAAACAGTCTCAATAAGTTAATTTAATTAAGTTAATGCATTTTGTGGTTTTGTGGAGTAATGCTAGAATTTGTGTTTGAATTCAGTCATTAATGAGAAGTGTGTTTTGAATTAGTCCCCATGTGATCATAGAACCATGACCAACGAGAAATTTGACGCAGACATGACACAGGCCCCGGAGTTCATACAGTATTACATAGACTGGTTCATACATAATATTA